CTAGTGAAAATAATTGGTGCGCGTTCGAATGTATAGTATGAAGTACCCCGTAGTATGGTGATCTGGCACGCACTGTAGTGCGAGCGGAGCGCGGGGAGCCCCGAACCCGCACACCCGCCGCGGTGGCACTTTACTCCCTTTTAACGCCGTGCACCTCACGTTCGACACACATTCCGCTGCTCACTTTCCTCACGCCGCGCAGATATTTGACTCCGCCAGGCGCCGCGGCGGCGCCACAACCACGACGCCGGACGCCGCGGCATGTCCCCTTCCCCCCGGAGCACTTTAACACGTCCGGACGAGCGGCGGCAGCGCGCTAGCCACCGGAGAAAGGTCCAGATAAACCAGCTGCAGTCCAGCGGCCAGGCAGCGCGGCAGCGGCGAAACATAATAAAAAGACATCCTCTCACTTCTCTCTTCTCGCCTGCAGACATGTCGCAGCAGCAGCAGCCGCAGCCGCAGCCGGAGAGGCCCGCCAAGAGCGGCATCAGCGGCGCGCGCTCCGCCTTCCTCGCCAAGCTGCCGCTCATCCTGCGGGTGGCCGAGCTGGTGAGTACTACCCCACCGGAAGCCGTACTATCTGTGTAGCTAAAAATTAAGCAGGATCGCAAAAAAGTTAGGTATCCCTCATTTAGCTACTGGTTTAGCTACTCGCAGCTAATCATTTTCTCTCGACCGTCGTCGCGATGCCTGCAGTGCCTCACCATCATCGTGCTGGGGCTCGTCATCGACCCCATCAACGCCCGGCTGCAGCACAACGTCAACCACTCGGCCCTGACGTACGTCACCTACGCCGGCTACATCCTCATCAACTGCGTGCTCATCATCAGCGAGGTGACGGGCGAGCCGCTGCCCAAGACCGCCGTGAGTAAACCATTAAACCCTTTCGGAAGCGCCTGTTATAATAATGGTTCGCGACATGAATATGTACTTGATCCAACCCTTGATCCAGTGCCTGCTGTTCGCCTTCATTGGCGGCGTGCTGTTCGTGGCCACGGGGTCGCTCCTCATCCACGACTGGCGCACCCTCAACTACTCCATGCACTACCACCCTCCCAAGATGTACATGGACATGATGATCAGCTCGGGCATCATCGGCATCTTCACGGCCTGCCTCTTCTTCGCGGACGTCGTCATCACCGTCCGATACGCGTAGATATCCCGCCAAGAGCAGTGGGCCCGGGCGCCAGGGTGAGTGCCCCATCCGGGTGGAGGACGCAGACGGACTTACAGGGTGGGGCAGGAGGGTGATGGTTGATGGTGTGTCTACCGCGCACGCACCATCGCGCACCAGTGGCCCACCAGGTGGACGAAAACCCGAGAAGTTTTGCATTTTTACTGCATCGCATTGGCGAAGTGGCGCACTGTGCCACTAGATCCCGAGCAAGTGGGCAACCTGCCCACACCCACACGTCTGCATTGCGTTGCAGTAGAACAGTTGCGAAATATTCAGCAGGGTTTTCAGCTACCAGGTTGCTACCACTGGGTAAGGGAAGCGGCCATGGTTTGTCAAGCGGTGTGGTGAAAGTCAAGGGGGCTCGATTCTACTGGTGGATGAGCATGTTACTACTACGTTAGCGACGTTAGCCAGCACAGCCGCGGTTCTTTGGCGTCGAGCAAATAATCCCAATTTGTCAGGGAATTTGACAGACGGACGTGACCATGACAAAATGTTTTTACTCTATCGGCCGCACTGCATTGTCTCTCGGGAGCCACTGGGCCGGAAGCAGGTCCCCCGGCCAGGCGAGCCATTTGGACTAAATTCGCAGACCATTGTTTGACCGGGAGGCCAGCCACCTAAACTAGAGTGTCTCTGACCCGAGATGGGAGCTCGCCCTGGTGTGAGTAGAGGCACTGAGTGTGTAGCGGTGTAGACTCATTCATTAAGCAAAACCTCTCTTATTAATCATTTGATTCATTCATGACTCACATGGCATGGCATGCTGCTTATTTGGTCAAAAATTGAATAGCGTAAATGTGTATTCACGCGGAGTTCAAGTTGTTCATAATTGCATACTAATAACTGCGAGGTCGGCACACGGCGGCCGTAGCTCACACTTTGCATGACTTCACGCTTTACGTAACAGTATTAGCCTCACTCACACCCACGATCGCGTCGTCAAAACATGGACATCAAAAGCGGCACATATTTACTCAGCGAAAGCCATTAAATAGTAGACATTTTCCGTAATAATTCCTCATTGCCTGAGAGAGTCTAATTACTTTGGGTTTGGGGTCTCCACTGTCATTCTGATCCCTGCTTTCCCCCTCGACAGGCTGGCGGAGGAGCGCGCGGCCCTGCGCGGGGCGGCGGAGGCGGCCGCGGACGACCGAGCGGCCAAGCGGAGCTCCACCAACCAGACGGACCTGGCGGACTTCGCCGTGTGAGGCCTCCAGGGCCACTCCAGGGCAAAGCTAGGCAGGCCTGGTACACCTCGTCCCAACATTACCCGCCTGGGCCACACACTTCAGATCTCATGCAAGTCCGTCCATTAAGGTTGTCTTCGGCTGGGTGGGTGTGTCATGTGTCATGTAGGGCGAAGGGAGGAAGATAACGGCAAAGGTTTGGAAGTTGGCAGCAGCCGAAGACAGCGGCATTTTGGCGGAAGACAGTGAAACCCTCCAATTAATTTATTGTGTTCATAGAGCGACGGGAAAAACACTGTAGTGCACATTGCAATACGATACAAATGTAAAACTTGTACTTCCTATCGGCCATAATGATTTTGATTACACGGAATGTTGCTTGCGTTTCGGAGCTCGACACCAAAATATGTTAAACCAAATTACGAGAGTAACTGTCTTCTTTTCTTTCATAAGATTAAATATTATATAAATATATATTTTTATTCAAAGTTATTCCTTAGTTAAGATTTATTACCGTAGCAATAGGAGAGTTTCTTGAATAGGAGAGTTTCTTTTATATTTATGTACAGAGGCAAACAATAATTTTCTAGTCGACTAGCCCCAGATAAAATATCACGATTGATTTATTGCTCAGCAAAACGAACTTCTACAATCTTTCGAATTGTTTCTCCGCACTCACAACAGTTGTTCCAATTTCAATACACAGTTAATGTATCACCACTGCCTCAGACATCGTTTTTTATACCTTGTTTTTCTAAATAATAAAGATATGTAACTAAAACGTTTTTTTCCTACTATCTTTTATTTGTCACGGTTCACTGTCCATCATCCATCCATAATCCACAATAAACTATAGCCCCTATGGATCCCTCTTTACCTTCCTTACTCTCCCCGACGACAAAATAAAGAGCGAGAATACGAGTCGAGAGTCGATAATCGATCAAAGCCGACCGCAACCAAACGGACAAGCAGAGCAGGCCGCGCGGGGCCCGCTAACAATACTCGAGCGAGCGCCTCTCTGCGCACCTGCGGCAAGTCGACCACAACAACAACACGACATGCAGGGAGGTTATGGCTTCCACCAGTAACCGCCGTGCATGACCCGCACCCGGGGAGACGCGCGTCGCGGCCATGGCGGACGAGAGCAAGCCCAAGGTCGCGCGGGTTGCTGTATCTCAACTGGTGGGCATATTATATCAATCAAAGCTAAAGCATAAAACACACCCGGCCACCGCACCGGAGGGGCAAAACGAACAGCCTCTGTTTCTGTCGGGTCGGGTCTCAACGCCAGCGTAACGAAGTCTGCACAGGCTCCTGGCGCGCGCCACGTAGGCCGCGTGCACCGTAGGCGAGCCGGTTGGGTGGCCTAGCCGGTGTACCGCAGGCGCCGCGGCGCTAGACCACTCGGCCGGCACCCCACCGCGGCCTTCGCGGCGGTGGCCGTGGCCGATGACGCTGACCCGGGGGCGTTATCGCCGGGGTTAGGCAACACATGGCGACAGCGCCCCAAGGCCCCGGCCCCCGCCCGGGCCGTCAGAACAAACACGTCGACCTGATTGTCTGTTTTGGGCGACCACGCCGGCCCGTCACTAACATCATGTATACCCGTCTTATGTCCGTCTAGTTCATCCCCGTGCGCCAGGATGCGCAGCCGCAGGAGGCCTCCGCTGGAGCGTGCATCTGCTCGTCGGCAGAGGGGGCCACCCCCGCCGCCGGGCCCGCCGTCCCGCCCGCCCCCAGCCCGCACTACCCCACGATGGCGGCCGCCAGCTACCAGCAGCAGGCCGCGCCCTACACGCCGCAGATCACTTTCCCGACGCAGACCGAGCAGCCGCGCCCTCAGCAAGGCACCGCAGAGTACCCCCCGGGCTACGGGGCCCCCCACGTCACCTTCCAAATCCCTCCCGACGCCTACGCCCCCCCGGGCGCCGCCTACCCCTGGCCGTACCCTTCCCCAGCGCCGCAAGGAGGCCAGCCTCCAACTACGCAGGGCTGTTGTCCGTACCCCCCTGGGCCGCCTCCGGCAGGTGCCGCTGGCGCGTGCATATGTCCTCCCGGAGGCCAGCCTCAGGCACAGGGCTGCTGCCCAAGCCCCCAGGGGACAACGCCCGCAGGAGGCGCGAGCGCGTGCATATGTCCTCCGGGAGGCCACCCTCAGGGTTGCTGCCCATGTCCGCCAGGTGGCCCGTACCCTGCGACGCCCATGCCCGCCTACCAGATGGACACCAGCCAGCTCCTAACGCAGGCCGGGCTGCCGTTCTCCCTATCCGCCGCGCTCCTACAGCAGTTTCAGGCCCAGAGGCTGAGAATCTACCTGGAGCCGACCACCACGACCGCGGGCGAATGGATGCACTCGCCGCCCGCCAAGGTGGCCAAGCTGGAGGAGGGTGACGACGCGTCGCAGCGCGGCCGCGCCCCTGCGCCTCCAAGCATCACAACGGGGCCAGGGCCCGAGCCCCTCGCCGAGCCCCCGCCCCCGAGCGAGGGGCCCGCCGGGCCCACCATACCCATCGGGCCCACCCCACCGCCGAGTGGGGCCGCCACGCCCGTCCGGAGGTCGCTGCTCATGTCCCTCATCAGGCCGTCCTCGCGCACCTCCCGCAAGAAGGGCGCGTCCATCTCCACATCGCCACATTCTTCCAGGGCATCCGCCATCAGCTGCCCTCTCTACCCAGAGCCGCTCTTCCTGGAGCCCGTAGAGCAGCCCACAGAGCAGCCCGTGGAGCAGACTGTAGAGCCGAGTGTAGAGCAGCCCGACGAGGCCCAACAAGAGGAAGGAGGACGCGACCAGGGCCTTGACAGAGATGGCAGCGACTCCACTGGCTATGACTCTCACGGCCACAGTAGCTTACACCTTCCCGTCCCCAACAGGGATGGAGATCGTGCAGTCAGTAGCAGCAGAGAGCAACCCGAAAGCGCTTCCACTGAGGGCAGCAGGGGGCGGCCAGAGAGCGCTTCCCGGGCAGCAGGGGGCGGCCAGAGAGCGCTTCCAGTGCAGGCAGCAGGGGGCGGCCAGAGAGCGCTTCCAGTGCGGGCAGCAGGGGGCGGCCAGAGAGCGCTTCCAGTGCGGGCAGCAGGGGGCGGCCAGAGAGCGCTTCCAGTGCAGGCAGCAGGGGACGGCCAGAAAGCGCTTCCAGTGGGGGGAGCAAGGAGCGGCCAAAGACTGAATCTGGCGCGAGCAGCGAGCGACAGTCCGAAAGAGCGCCTAGCGACAGGCGCGATAGCTTGTCCAGCGGGAATAGCAGCAGCAAGGGACGGCCCGGCAGCCCGTCCACCAGGGGCGGCGCCAGTGCACGGGGCAAGGGTTCTGAGGACGGCTCGGGTGCCCAGTCGGATAGAGGCTTCGTGGAAGGCTCCGGCGAGGGCTCGGGCGAGGGCTCGGGCGTAGATTCCCGCGGAGGCTCCGAAGTCGGATCCAAAGAAGCACCCGGTTCTGCTCGCGGTTTGCGAGCCGGTTCGGGAAGCGCGTCCAGTTCTCGGCGCGCTAACGACTCCGCTCGAAGCACAGAGAGGGACTCGCGCAGGACCTCTGGTGCCACTTCCCCCATCACCGGAGGTAACTCCAGTGTAAAAACGGCTTCTGGAAGTAGATACGAATCACTACGTCCGGACTCAGGAAACGGTTCAGCTTTGGACTCCGGAGGCCGAGCCTCCAGCGGCCGGTCCCGAACCACCACTCTCCACCCCGACGACCAGGAGGGTAGCGACTTCGTCGCGTCGGGCCCAGCGGAAGACGAGCCGCTGTCCAGGATCTCGTCCTCGTCCTCGAGCGAGACACATGTCATCATGCCACCCCCGGAAGAGCGGCCCTCCAGCACCCCGCGCTGGAGCTTGCAGTCGGAGAAGACTGCAGTGGAGCCGGGCGGTTCCAGGAGTTCCAGCTCCAGCAAGCGGAAGAGCAGCCTTGAGCCCGACGAGAGCAGCCACCATTCGGACGAGAAAAGTGTACTCGATCGACAGAGCAGTGCAAAGTCTGGTAAGATTGGCACTGAAGAACCCGAAGAGAAGAGCGTCTCCGACCGGAAGAGCAGTGTCAAAACAGATCGGAAGAGTAGCAAGGGTTCCGATAGAAAGAGCAGCCGGCACTCCGGCGAGGACAGCATTCAAACAGACAGAAAGAGCAGCCTGAAGTCGGACCCGCTCAGCTCGGTCCGAAACAATAGCGCCTCTTCCTACGGCAGGTCGAGGAAGAGCAGCAGGAAGAGTGGCGCAAGTACAAAGCACTCCGTCATCGACGAAGAGCCGGAGGGAGAGCGGGAGGAAACGGCCGAAGGGAAAGAGGCCGAAGAGGAATATCTAACAATGTCGCTCGAATCCAGCTCCCGCTCCAGGCACCGGACTTCGAGCCCGCTGGAGTCGGAACGCATGACGAGGCGGTCGAGGACCTCCGGCACCCTATGGAAGGACAGCGACGACCTCCTGGTGACGCCGGTCAAGTTTACGTGCATGGACTGCATGCGCCTCATGGAACTGGTGTGTTGGCACAGGGGCTTGTGCACCACTTAGCCGATTAACCGCGCGCACCTCTGTAGTTATACTGTTCCGCGCACGAAGGAGTGCGGGCTGTGTTGCTGTGTTGCCTTTCGCCCCCGTTCATACGGCACCTTACAGGCCGAACGCGTAGGCAACCTGCCCGCACCGAGAACCGCGGCACAACATAACTGCACAGGTGCTCGGGGTGAAGCAGACATAGGGAATGAATAGTTGACTAATCTCGTATTAATCCACTCTTGCTGATTTGCCCACAGATCGCCGTGGCACTGTTCGGTGCCGTGCTCTTGTCCCTGCTGCCGCAGCTCAAGTGGGACGAGGCGCCCGGCTCGGCGGACAAGGCGATGCCACCCGCGTGCGAGGCCGACGAGGCCGACAAGGCCGAGCGCACTGCTAGTCCGTGCGGGGTCCGGCAACAGGCGAACTACACCACGGCGCCTCGTGGCGAGGAGACGGAGCTCAGCGACGTCCTTGGGCACGGCTGCGAGATGGGCGAAGCCTGCACATCCACCCCGGGTATCAACTCCTCGACAGGGAACACCCCAGAAGGGCATCTCTCCGAGGAGCCCTTGGCCGTGAGCTGGCCTTCGGTCTCTACTGAGGCGTCGAGGTCTGAGGACTCTGCAACGGTGTCCTCGTGGCCTGGTCTACCAACGGCCACGCCCGATGGGCGGCCGCCAGTACCTGGCGATCTCAGCCCGCGGCCTCCTCTGGAGGTCCCCACTGAGGCGACAAGGACCGAGGACTTACCAACGGCCAACTCGCGGCCTCGCCTCCCAGAGGCCACGCCCAGCGGTTGGCCGCCAGTGCCCGACGCCCCTAGCCCGCGGCCGCCCCTGCAGGTCCCCACCCCGGCGACGAGGTCTAAAGACACCCCAACAGCGACCACGCGGCCTAGTCTCCCGGCAGCCACGCACAGCGGGCGGCCAACCGTGCCTGCCGCCCCTAGCCCGCGGCCGTCCCCGCAGCGCCCACCGGAGCCGCGTCCTCAGGGCGCCGTCCCGCCCGCGCCGCGGCCACCAGCCCCGCGCCGCACAATCGCGACCCGCGGCCGCCCCACGCCCCACCCTCGGCGACGCCCTACTGCACCAGCCATAGCCAAACGGCCCGGTAAGATCAGTGCCAATCGGAGGCCTTCGACGAGACGCCACCCAGCCAGTCCCCGGCCTGTGTCAGCGGGACTAGCGACGATGTTGCCAGGTGACACTGGAACGCACCCCAGAGTGCACGCGTCAGCAGAGGGCTGGACGCCAACGGCACGAGGTCGCGAGACTCCGGGGCAGCCGTCACCAGGTCGTGATACTCCGCTGCCGCCGCTACGAGGTGGCGAGACTCCGCAGCCGCCGCCACCACGAGATGTCGCGTCAATGGGGGATGTGCCAAGTCCCATTTCGGACGAGCCAGCTGCGCGCGTTCCTGCTAATCGGGGGTCCAGCACACCTCTAACTGCGTCTGCCAGAGAAACGACCCAGTCTGAAGCACAGATCAGATCTATCAAACCGGGCGTCATGAGAACGCGTGACCAAACACTGAGAAAAATTGAAGAACGCACGACGCCAGTGGGGCCATTTGATAGGAATATCACAGAACCAGGCCTAGAGCGCCGACCTACCGCGTTTACTTTACCCTTTGATCGAGATATTACCTATTCGGAAGCAAAGCCGCGTCCAACGCAGATCTCTTTGCCTGTCCGGAATAAAACTGAACTGGCGCCAGTATATCACACAACTGACAGTCTTACTGCATTCAACCGCGAAACAGCATCACCGGGTGTACAGGTTCGCCCAACTGAAAACCTTACTTATGCTGTTCGGAATACGACTGTATCGAAAATCCGGGCTTCCTCCATGGAGACCCAATCGTCCTTCGAATGGAATTCTGCGAAGCCGGAAACAAACTCCCGCCCTACGCAGATCTCTTATCCCCTTGAGCCGGAGTCAAAGAGCCACACAACTGACGCCTACATTCCGTCTCGATATGTAACATTCCCGGAGAATGACCACCTTTATGAAAAAACCTCTGCATTTGACGCTCTTCATTTGACCTCGCCAATCATAGAGCCGGAGGGGGCGATCCGACCCACTGGGACCCCAACTGCAGTGGCCAGAGTTCCGGCCGGGCTGGAGGCCGCGACCCGCCTCACTGGAAGCCCAACTGTAGAGGCCCAAGTTACGATCGAGCCGGAGGCAGAGACCCACCTCACTGGAAGCCCAGCTGCAGCGGCCCGCCTCACTGGAAGCCCAACTGCAGAGGCCCGAGTTCCGACCGAGCCTGAGGCAGCAGCCCACCTCACTGGAAGCCCAACTGCAGAGGCCCGAGTTCCGACCGAGCCTGAGGCAGCAGCCCACCTCACTGGAAGGCCATCGACAGTGGATAGAGTACCGACCGAGGCGGAGGCAGTGGCCCGCCTTACTGGAGCCCAAATAGCAGTAGGCAGAGTTCCGACCGAGCCGGAACCAGGGGCTCGCCTCACTGGAAGCCCAACAGCAGTGGATCGAGTTCCGACCGAGCCGGAAGCAGCGGCCCGCCTCACTGGAAGCCCAATTGTAGTAGACAGAGTTACGGCCGAGCCGGAGGCAGCGGCCCGCCTTACTGGGAGCCCGTCGGCAGTGGGTCGAATTCCAACCGAGCCGGAACCAGGGGCTCGCCCTACTGAAAGCACAACTGCAGTGGGTCGAGTTCCGACCGATCTGGAGTCAGCGGCCCGCCTCACTGGAAGCACAATTGCCGTGGCCAGAGTTCCGACCGAGCTCGAGACGGCAGCCCGCCTTACTGTAAGCCCATCGGCAGTGGGTAGAGTACCGACCGAGGCGGAAGCAGTGGTCCGCCTTACTGGAGGCCCAACAGAGTTGGACCGAGTTCCGACCGAGCCGGAGGCAGCGGTCCGCATCACTGGAAGCACAACTGCATTCAGCCGGGATTTTACCGTTACCGCACCTGAGAGATATTTAACACTATCTAGGGACGAAGCAAAGAGTGAGGGAGATCCAAAGGCCTCCACAGCCAACAAGAAGCAGCCTAAAGAGAAAGAGGAGAGGGAAGAAAGTCCCACTACACCCTCAGCAATCCAGAGGCAGCCTGAAGAGAAGGCGGGGAGGGAGGGAAGTCCTACCGACCCGTCATCACCCCACAGGCAAACGGAAGATGGATTCGAGAGGGAGGGAAGACCTACCAACCCTTCAGTCAACCAGAGGCAAACTGAAGAGAAAGAGGAAAGAGTGGAAACTCCCACTACCCTCTCAGGCAACCAGAGGCTGCCCGAAGAGACAGGGGAGAGAAAGGAGAGCCCCACTACCCCGTCAGCCAACCAAAGGCGGTCAGAAGAGAAGGAGGAGAGGGATGAAAGTCCCACCATCCCCTCAGCTGATCGGAGGATGTCGGAAGAGGCAGAGGAGAGAAAGGAAAGTCCCACCACCCCGTCACCCAACCAAAGGCGGTCGGAAGAGAGGGAGGAGAGGGATGAAAGTCCCGCCATCCCATCAGCTAATCAGAGGCAGTCCGATGAGGAAGGAGGGAGGGAAAAAAGACCCACCACCCCCTCAGCGAACCAGCGGCGGTCTGAACAAAAATTGGGGAGGGAGGAAAGTACTCCCACTCCCTCAGCAAACCAGAGGCAAACTGAAGAGGGAGAGGAACGTGGGGGAAGTCCGAGCACCGCCTCAGCAAACAAGAGGCAGTCCGAAGAGAACGAGGAGAGAAATGGCAGTGCCACCACTCCCTCAGCCAATCCGAGGCAAACCGAAGAGGAAGCAGAGAGGGATGGAACACCCATAACTCCCTCAGTCAATCAGAAGCAAACTGAAGAGGAAGAGGTAAGGGCGGGAACTCCCTCCTCCCCCTCCGCTAACCAAAGGCAGCCCGACGAGACAGAGGAGAGAAAGGAAAGCCCCACCACCCCCTCAGCTGACCAAAGGCTGCCGGACGAGACAGAGGAGAGAAGAGAAAGCCCCACCACCCCGTCAGCTAACCAAAGGCTGCCGGACGAGACAGAGGAGAGAAGGGAAAGCCCTACCACCCCCTCAGCTAACCAAAGGCTGCCGGACGAGACAGAGGAGAGAAGAGAAAGCCCCACCACCCTCTCAGCTAACCAAAGGCTGCTGGACGAGACAGAGGAGAGAAGGGAAGGCCCCACCACCCCTTCGGCCAATCGAAGGCGGTCGGAAGAGGAAGAGAAGAGGGATGAAATTCCTAGCACCCCCTCCGCTAACCAAAGGCAGTCCGAAGATAGCGGAGAGAGGGAGGAAAGACACACCACCCCCTCAGCCAACCAAAGGCGGTCGGAAAAGGAAGAGAATAGAGATGAAAGTCCTACCACCCCCTCAGCAAACAAGCCGCAGTACGAGGAGAACGTGGGGAGGGAAGAAAGTCCTCCCACCCCTTCAGCAAACCAGATGCAATCTGAAGAGGAGTTAGGCGCGAGAAGTCCCAACACCGCCTCAGCAAACCAGAGGCAGTCTAAAGAGAAAGAGGAAAGAAGGGTCAATCCGACTACCCCCTTAGCTAATCAGAGGCGGTCAGAGGCAGGAGAGGAAAGGGAGAACAGACTCACGACACCCTCAGCTAACCAGAGACAAACTGAAGTGGAAGAGGTGAGGCCGGGAAGTCCAACTACCCCCTTAGCAAACCAAAGGCAGTCTGAACAGGAAGAGGAGAGAGATGATAGACTCACCACCCCGTCAGCCAACCAGAGGCAAACTGAAGAGGAAGAAGAGAGGCACGTAAGTCCTACCATCCCTATAGCCAACCAGAATAAGTTGGAAGAGGAAATCGTAACGAGACAGTCTGCGCAGTCTGTGACGGCTGAGGAAAGGGAGGGTAGATTTACTACTCCATCAACTCACTTCAGGCCAAATGTTAGTAAAGTGGAGAGAGGAAAATTTACTACCCCTCCGACTTACCATAGGCAGCCTGAAAGGGGAGTCAAGAGAACAGAAAATGTTACCACCCTGTCACCCGATTTGAGGCCAATTGAGAGTGCTGTTGGGAGGGAAGAAAAATTTACCACTCCGTCAGCTCATCAGAGGCCACCAGCGGAGGGCGAGAGCAGGAACGGAAGTCGCACCACTTCATCGGCAAAACAGAGGCCTTCTAAAGAGGATCCGGAGAGAGGACAACATTTTACCACCCCTATTGCTCACGAGAGACCAACTGAGTCTGCCAACGACAGGGACGCAAGTTTTACCACCCCTTCAGCAAACAAGAGGCCAACTGAGAAGGAAGTGGGTCGAAAGGAAACATTTACCACACTTTCGTCTTTTCACCCTCTGACCACCAAGCCAGCTTCGGAGGAGCAGCAAACCCCCAGAGTGCCACCAATGCAGACAGACCACGCCAAGGCCCCTTCTAGAGAGCAATCTACCCTATCTGCGGAGCCTCGCCTGAGGCAGACGGGGCACGCAGTGGCACTTGCCAGAGAGCATTCCGCCCCATCTGCGGAGCCTCGCCTGAGACAGACAGGACACGTAGAAGCGCCTCCAAGAGAGCTTTATACTCCATCTGTGGAGCCTCCCCTGCGGTATACGGTGCGAGCAGAGGCGCCTTCCAGAGATCAATCTACCCCATCTGCGGAGCATTCCCTGCGGCAGAAAGGACACTTAGATGACCCTTCCAGAGGCGAAGCTACCACAACTGCGCAGCCCCCCTTGAGGCAGACGAGGCAGGCAGAGGCCGCCACCAGAGGAACACTTCCCCTCGAAATGGATCCCAGGCCAACGCTAGCACCTCCAGCAGCTAGGGCCACTAAGTCCAGTGAACGAAAAGCTACGGCGCCTACTCGACAGGCGCTTCCATCCGTAGAGGGGAAGACAGAGCCCGACGTCACGGCGCCTACACGACAGGTCCTTCCCTCCGCGCAGGATGAAACCGAGCCAGAAGCTACGGCGCCTACTCGACAGGCGCTTCCATCCGTAGAGGG